AAACCTGACAGATGATGTGAATCTGCTAAAAGGAACCACCGCCGAGTTGTAACCCCAGATGAAGCAGCAGTAGAGAATGGTGAAACCCAAAAATTATAGCTCTTTCCAGGTGGGCAAGGTCAGCCACTCAGTGACGGCCCTAACCTTTTCTGGGTCAGCCTGGATCTTCCCATACTCAATAACATAGCCTAGGAAAGAGACAGCGTTAACATGAAACTCACACTTCTCTGCTTTGGTGAACAACCGGTTCTCCAGCAACTGGTGTGGTACTTGGCAAACATGCTTGGCATGCTCCACTCAGGACTGGGAAAAAATAAGGTCGTCTAGGCACACAAAAAGGAACCAACACAGAAACTCTCTTAGAATATCATTTATGAGAGCTTGAAAAACAGCTGGAGTGTTAATAAGGCCGAATGGCATGACTAGGTACACGAAATGGCCTAGTGGGGTTTTAAAAGCCATTTTCCATTCATCCCTCTCCCTTATTCTAACCAGATGGTAAGTGTTTCTGAAATCAAGCTTTGTGAAGATGGAAGCCCCTTGAAGTGATTCAAATGCAGACTGAAGAAGTGGTAGGGGATATTTGTTCTTTACGGTTATGTTATTTAAACTCCAATAGTCAGTGCAGGGCTGAAGGGAACAGTACTTTTTACTAACAAAAAAACCCCTGCTCTGAGGGGCGAGAATGGAGGACGTGCGATCCTGGCCCTTAAAGAGTCTCTAATGTACTCCTCCATGACCTGTGTCTCGGGAGTAGAGATACTATACAGCTTACTTGTGGGTAAAGTGGTGCCAGGGAGGACGTCAATAGTATATGGCCTATGGGGTGGTAGAGAGCCATTTACTTACTAAAATCTTTTCCTAGATTGTGGCATTCAGATGGAATGTTGGAAGGATCAGGAAGCTAGATGGTGAAGAGGAGAGGTGGTTATCCAGAGGCAATCGGGCCGACCTTAAGCAGGAGGAGGAGCAGGTGGGGCTCCCCTTGGTTACTATGCCAGCTTGCCAGTCAGTTTGGGGATTTTGGTGTGTGAGCCACAAATACCCCAGAATGAGGGGAGATTGAGGTGTATTCAGGATCTTTAATTAAATTAATTCCTGGTGGTTGCCAGACAATATCATCGTAACTGGTTGGGACTGATGAGTCACATGAGCAAGGAGCCAGCCGTCTAAGGCGTTAGCTGTAAGAGGGCTTGTTAAAGGTTCTGTTAGAAGACTTAGCCGTGATTTAGCTGAATTATTTTCTTAAATTTGGTAACAGTATTGTCAGATAGACACCTACTGTCTGTTTTTTCCCACATAGTGTATACATTTAAAAGTTATTAGAAAATGGTCAGACAGAAGAGGGTTTTGGGGAAAAACTATTAAATGTTCAGTTTTAATATTGTATGTCAGAACAAGATCAAGGGTGTGATTAAAACAGTGAGTGGGTTTATTTACAGTTTGAGAAAAGCCAGTTGAGTCTAATAATGAACTGAATGCACTGTTGAGACTGTCACTGTCAGCATCTACATGAATATTAAAGTAGCCTACTATGATTATTTTATCTGTACTAAGCACTAAATCAGACAAAGTCTGAGAATTCAGTTAAAAACTCTGAATAAGGGGCAGGTGGATGGTAAACAACAACAGATACTGTTTATTCAAACCAGTATGGCTCATTTCAAAGACAGACCATGGAGGTTCCCTGTGCAGCTGTGGACCTGTCAGACCTAAGAGACCACGTTCTGTAGCGCAGGAAAAAGTGTAACAAAGAATGAGGCAAAACCAGGGTTAACACTGGTTTGGCATGTCAGAAATGGAGAGCAGTAAAAGCATCTAAAAGAGTAAAATTTGAGGCAGTACCATCAGGGCAGCACTAAAGTCCTTCTAAAAAAAAAAGACAGAGAGGGAAGACAAACACGTCTAGGTTCAGTAAGCCACCACACAGATATCTGGATTTATTTCAAACACTTCTTAATAAACAAAGAATTTATATTTTCAGTTATGCCTTTTTCTGTGACAATGACAAAACTCTAGGTTAGAGTAGTTATTTCAATAATAAGTATTTTTTTTCCCTTTTGCTACAAATGCCCAAAGGAAGAAAATGTGGAACCACTCAAAATAAATACTTTACATGCACTTGAGTAACTACGTTACAGTCGGCTTTCCTGAGTAAACTCTTTTCTTGAAAGCACTGTTAACAGTAAGTGACTGGCATCTGGCAACTGAGACCCTTTGGCTTTTTTCAGCCTCGGAGGTTAGCGCTTATTTGGTCTGCACCACATCCAGGTGGATGGTGGTTAGCTGAGTAGATCAGATGTGGTCAGGCCAGGAAGCAAGAGCTGGAGGATCAAGGAAGTCTGAAGCTCCCGGATCAAGTTTGTATTACTCTCACATTTATTTCCTTCCTTGTCTTTTTTGGGACAGTCAGTTTTTAAAGGGAAATTTCTTTTTTCTAAACTTCTAAACAATCAGTGGAAGTGCAGTGTCTGATAGTGGCATGCCCATCCCAAAAAGGAACAAAGGAGTCTTTTGACTGGGAGTTTACAACTCTACAGTAGTAGTCTTTAGGCCAATTTGTGAAAACAAAAAACTGTACATTCTTAAACTAGGTAGATACTGTATGTAACACTGAATTTATGAGAATTACAATGATACCAAGAGGTGTATATTTAACCTACATTGTTTCCACTGCATATATTCATGCAGCTAATTAATCTAGGGCTGGCATTCTATGTGAACACTAAGTACAGATCATAAAATATTATGCACACATGTTACAGGAGAGATTACACTGAAATTACAAATGAATACAACATATCAGATTTGACTACCCATTCCAAATGTAGGTTTAAAAGAGGAAAGAGCCATGTGCTCCCAGCCTTTTTCAAGGGAGGGGGATTGGCTGCACTAGGAGACAGAGAAACTGAGCAGTTCCATTTCCTTTTCTGTTTCAAACAGATAATCATAATTTCTTTTAAAAACAATAGCAGAATCATATACTTCCAAACTATGTATGTACCGTTGTAATCATGACAACAGGCAAAGGGTAAACTATTTGTTTTTCAACAGTGATTTTTAAGATTTGTCTTATTTAGGGGCACTATCTAAGAAGACACTTGTGTTCTTGTTTAGGTTGGAGGACTTGTTAGATTTAGTTTTATCTTAGTTTGATTTCTTCTCTCCTCATTTTGGCATTTAAGCCCCCAGCCAAGATTCTCAGGACTTGAAGTGAGAGAAAAAGAGAGTGTGAGAGAGGAAAAGAGATTACAAGAAAAAAAAAACACTAAAAGGATAAATGTCCCATCTTTGTCTTGCGTTGCCTAGGTAACTGGATGATCGTTAAGCCATTATCTCTGTGGTCACCATGGAGTGGTTTCCCTGACAATAAGTCTGTATGTGTGTCAGACAGGAAGGTCACAGAATTGTTGTCACCTCTTCTGCCTACATCAGTGTCCTGCTGAGAAGAAAATTGGCTCTGCTTTCTTCCTCTCCTCCTTTCCTTCTCCTTCATAGTCAGTTTTTGTCACAGTGCTACCTCCATGTGGCCAAACCTGCTCACTGCAGCTGCAGACTTCTAGTCAAAAAATGTTGTAATGTTTACTTAAGTCAACTTTGTATCACAAATGACAATAATTTTTGTTACTCTCTGTGAAAGGGCAAGACACCTGCTGTGACCACAAATAAAACATTTCTGCTCAGTGAGCAGAATTTTTTATCCTGTATAAATCAGTGCCATTATCTTACCGCTTATCCTGCTGACATTGGGTAAGAGACAGGATACACCCTGAACAGGACTAAATCAGTACATGTCCCCTGAAATCTGAAAAAATAATTTAGTAAAAGTGTCCTAAGGCCTTGATTTTTTTCCTCTTAATTTTACCTTTAGGTTCCTGTTTTAAAATAAATCATCAGCGAAAGTGGCACTGATGTATTATGTTTACATTGTATCTTTGACTTATTTAGGCTCTCTGCTCAAATTTAAAGTACAGTATGCTTCATAAAGACTGTGGTGTTTGACATGACTGGTGGAGACAAATACATAATGTTGCCTAAGCCCTGTCTACTTTAAACAAAAGGGCAAAACCAGAAATGCAGAATGTATCATTAAATAACCAAAACTCTTCTAGTGTTGGAAGAAAATGTGTGTTCATGTAGGACAATTGCTGATATTAAGAAGCTTAATGAAGAAATAGGTGTGTTAGGTTTTTAAAAATCTTTTTTCCCAACTGAAACTTATATAATTGTTTAAAATGTGATCAGCAGTAAAGAAAGTAGCATTTAATTTCAGCACATTCTTGTGGAGTCCTTGTAGTTCATTAAAGAATTACATTAACAGGTTTGCAGTTAAATTTGAAAGTTCTTTGAAAGTTAACACTGAGTCATACTCGAAAAGAAAACCATGAAGGCAGCAGCGCACCAGCTTATACCAGAATCTTTCATCATTCTTATGTTTGTCTGTAACTGGGCACCAGTACGTTACAGTGAGGAGAGTGAGAACAGCTGTTGAGGTGCCCATGACCAGTAAAAAGTAATAATATTTTGATAGTTGTAGCATAAGCGCAGTCGTGGAATATATTCAAGTTATGTATAGGCTTACAAAATTTGAGGCACTTATACTTTGGTGAGGAGTGGGGTGGGGTGGGTACAATCAAGCCTATTGAATTTAGCCAATGTCCACAACCTGTTTGTTAGGACAGTGACAAGCACATGCCAAAGTTGTTTGTTTGTTTGTTGGGCAACAAAACCAAGTCTGCAAAAGAACTGATTTTAATTTGAAATATAAATCATTTAAAATGACGTCAAAGACATTTAATTAGAGGTTGTTTTTTGTATGTGTTATCAGTGCAGAGAGAATGGACTGACCTTATCACTCTCTGGTGGAGTTTCCTTTTGGACAGGAATTAGGCTTCCTCTGCTTCCTGTTCTGTCCTCCTGTGCACATGTGTGTGTGCGCACACATGTGTGTGTGTGTGTGTGTGTGAGTCCCCAGGAGAGGTCTAAAAAGAATAGTCTGTGTAGAACGAGAAAGAACAAGAATGAAGCAGAGACATAAGTTAAAATTGCTTGACCAGAGGACAACAGGGACCCAGAGGGAACAATGAAAAAAGTAACTGACACTCAGACACAAAAACAACGAAAGACAGACTGAAACATAAGATATATTCAGGAAGAAGGTGAATAGCACCAGGACTCCAGCTGACCCGTACAGGACGAATACAGAGGACCAAATCACAATGGACTATGAACCAAAGAAAGCCAAGAAGGTATAGTAGCTTCTCCTCTCACTTAGTTTCCATGTTTTGTCTTGTTCGGGTAATATAGATGTGTCTGAGCTGGTCCTGAATGTTCTCCAAAGTTAATTTTGTCACACTTCATCATCCAGCTGGAAATTGGGACCTAGAGTTGAATATTGTTTCAGCTCTTAAAGACAAACCAAAAGCTTAAGTCATACAGTTGATCCTAAGATTATAATACTAATGTATTATTGGGTACATCACACTTATGATCCTTAACAGAACACAAGGGTTAATGTTACAGCTGGTAAAGGTAGAGTTGATATTAACTACCTTATATGATTATACTTTGAAGTGAAGTACTGCTGGGTAGTTTGGGATCCCCACCAGGGATAAGTCTTATGATTATACTGTAATGTGGTTAATTAATCTCAGTCTGAAAAGTAACTAGTAACTGAAGTTATCAAAAAAATGTAACGAGTGAAAAGTACAATATTTTTCTGTAAATTGCAGCAATATCAAAGTATTAAGTAGCAGAATATGAAAATACTCAAGTAAAGTACAGATACCTCAAAACTGTACTTAAGTACAGTACTTGAGTAAATGTATTTAGTTACTTTCCATTACCGTTTCTAGAATCATTGTAATTAAACTTTTGACAAATCCTCACCCTTACAAAGAAACATGGGCCTTATTGTCCAGTCACACCAGAATTTAAAACAGCAAAATTTGTTACAAAAACAATTAAGTCCATTTATTTCAGAGGGATCACTGCTAACAGTGCAGTCACTCACATGGGTGAAGTATATATGTGAGAAATGTTTCTATCAAGTTCAGGTTCAGTAAACTTTGAGAGGGCAGTTGTTGACCAATGGTAAACTGTTGACACTGCTGACCTTTGAAGTAATAAACAGCGGGAGAGTCCAAAATGATGGAAAGTGCTGTAGCTTACTAGCTGTGTCGCACAATCCAGTTTTATTAACCTCAATGTTGGAGTGTAAACTGGTCCAGAAAGAAGCAAGGGTGTGCAGACAGTTATGAGACAAGAGATGATGGGGCAGACTAATTTGGGGAAAACAAAAGCAAAAAGAGGAAGGGGAAAAAGAAATTTGCAACCCTACTGTCAGCATGGCAGCTGTTAGTCATTAGAGACCTCATTGTTTTTAAAAACACATTTCATGAGCAAGAGGGTGTTTTTAAATTACAATGCTTGCCAGGGAAGAAGGTCAGGGACTTTTACATGCTTTCAAGATTTGGTTACTGAACAAAATAAAGATGATTAGACTGGCAGTAGACTGTATGATTGCAGTTCCAAAATATATTTGTTGATTTCTTCAGCCATATTAAAGTTTGATCAGTGTAAACGTAGAGTTTCTTCTACATTTCCTCTTGGTTTACACTTGTACAACAGTCTTCAGATTCACATTTTACATTTCTTGGCTAAATGCTAGGCCAAAGAAAAGAGCTCAGCAGTAAGCAGGTCCATAGCACCTTGGTCTAACATTCATTAGAAAGCCCAATTATTTCCTCCTTTTAGACTCCTCAAATGAACAAGGTCTGGAACAAGAAGAGGAACACAACTCATTATAACTAGGAGAAGAACAAAACTCATTATAACCATCCTCTGTTTCTGTCCTTAGGATTACAATCAGCTGACTACAGAGATGTTCAGAAATTGGTCTTATTCTCAAGCATAGAGCATAGCTGTCCTTGTTTTTATTCAGAAAGAAAGACAAAACAAATTTCTAATTCCCTCCTTCTATTCTGTGTGTCTACTCCTTATGCCCTCAAGCAGTACTATATTAAAGTGTGTTTATACATGTATTCAGTGAGTCAGTGTCCTGTTCATTCATGGGTAGAGCTTGATGTCATCCATGAAGAAGCAGTGGCTCTGTATAAGAAAATAGCTATTTGTTCACCTTGAGGCTACATAATAATAGTTTGGTCCATAAGTTTTCATAGAGAATGATGTCTTTCTGTTCTAGGAGAGTGAGACTCGAACCTCACAAAGAATGATATCTTTTTACTGTACCAATTTGCAGAACTTTCAAATTAAATGTCAAATATTTATATAAGAAAATGGCTCCTGTAATAAATTTAGATGTTGCATAAAACAGTTTGGTCAATAGTGACTCACAGGGACTGATGCTTTTTTGTTCTAGAGGAGGCAGACTACAATTTCCTAAAAGGTGAAGTAGTTATACTGTACCATTTTAGAGAAATTTAAAATTTAAACTCCAATATTTATATAAGGACATACCTTTTGTTATGGACTATTAAGGCAGAATAAAAACATATTGGCCTATACATATCATTTCCATACAGGAAATGATATGTATCTCTTCTGGAAGAGTTGGACAAGAACATCACAACAAATCATAAAGTTTCACTCTATTGGTTTAGAGAATTTTGTATTATAAAGCTGCATAAAAAACAAATGCTCCATAATTTCATACAGGGACTGATGTATATGTCTACTAGAAGAGTTGGTCAACTTCACAGAGATTCTGACATACCATATCATTTTGGAGGATTTTTAGATTAAAATCCAATATTTCTTCTTAAAAATACAATATCTTAACCACAAATATTAAACTGTAATTTCAATGTTTTCCAAAATAGTTTTGTAAATATGCTTAATTTTTTGTGAGCTTGTAGGGAACCTCCTATAGATCTGGGAAAAGTGAATCACTTTGAAAAATAGACTACTGTGTTTTTTATGCCGCTTCAAACTCCATGACAAAATCTTTGCTTTGTAAACAGCTATTTTAATCTAAAGGTCCTCCAAAACGATACAATAAAAGTGTCTGATTAAATCTGAGAAAGAATAAGCTGCCGGAAATAGGCTATATTTATAAGTTCTGGGTATAATTCAGTTGATTTTGTTTGCCTACATTCATTTTCATGTCCTTCTCAGATGTCTTATTTTGAAAACCGGATGTAGTGGACAACTAGTGTAAAGCATGGTTTATAGGCGCACTACAATTTCACATGTGGCTTATTTGTCCGCAGAAAAATGAATGATGGCAGAGGACCGATTCATTAATATCACCTTTGAACTGTTCTTTTGGCAGTTCAGTGTGAGGAGGAGAGATGGGAGCCCTCTTTTCTGTTGACAGTGAAGTTGTGGAGATTTTTGTCCAGTTTCCACATTATATAACTGCCTTGTATAATTATCGTTTGCTTCTTCAATAAATGACCAAACATAGGTACGGAGTTGAGTTTCTTTGGACAACACACATAAGACAGAACTCCTTGCTTGCCCTGATATTTTAGATGGCTGCTGCAACACAGTGTATGATTTTGTTGAGGCAATTTTAGTAAGACGGTTATTGCCTGTTTGCTATCATATTTGAGCATAATTTCAGCCAGAAAATTATAAAATTCATGAATGAAATCCTTACTGGGCTTAGGAAGAACAACTGCACACAACACAAGATAGTTTATATTCAATAAAAACAACAGCAATTCAAAGGTGGAGTAAACATCAGCAGTTAAAACAGTTCCTAAAATAGATGCTTATCCTCCTCCTCTCCCTGAAATATGTGGAGAGTTAAAAAAAAAAAAAAGCAGTCCAGAGGGAGTAGCTCAGAAAAGGAGCCAACTTTGAGTCAGGTTTCACTCACCAACACCACAGGAGGTACCTAAAGAAATCATTAAGACTGAAAGTTTTATTAGCTAGCGATCTAGCATTGATGAGAGTCATCCTCACTGTAAACATCTTGCCAGGTGCCTGGGATTCTCAGGCCAGCGGGCGCAGGTTTACCCAAACAACACCTCTCATGGAGAGCCATCAAAAATGGCGGCGTGTAATCGATGGAACCTGGTTCACAGCTGCAGGCCGAAGCCACTGATAGCAGTCCTCAAAGGAGTTTCACAGGTCAAAAGAATAATAAAAATCACCTTTATTTGGCCAACTGAAAAAAAAAAAACTAGATTTACTAGATTTCTAGGTCGAAGACATTTCAACGTTTCTCACTGTCACAAACAGTGGCGCCATCTTGTCTTGCTAAAATGGTTGAGTGAACATATGCACAGTCTGGCAGGTGTGCAGTCTCTCTCTGTGCCCCTTGGGTTCTGGGTTCCAGATCTCAGGGCATTTTTGCCATCATCTGTTCACAAGATATAATAATATTTACAGTATTTATAACATTTTACCAAATTACATGGCGGTTGATCTAATAAATGATGACATTCTCTTGTCCTTGCTGTCTCTCTCTCCCCAGGGATTTGTATCTCCTATTAAGAGGCTGGTCTGGTCCAAATCCAGTCGCAGACCAGTGGATCGAGGCTGTGTTTACCGCCGCCCACTGCACACTGTCCCCCTCTACCCTCCAGACTACCTCATCCACCCTGAAAGACTCATCTTTGACTACATAGAAAAGGAGGTCAAGGTATAACCAAAACATAGTACAGTACAATAAAATATACCTGGATAACCACACCTGACCTTTGTCCTCTCCTTAGTTCCTTGGTCACCTGACTTGGGTGTCAGTTTCACTGAACCCCTCCAGCCGAGATGAGCTGCTACAACTACTGGACACAGCCATGGTTAGTGATCAATAACTTACTTATGATTAATCACATTAGGCATTAGGGGTTAGTTAATCAATATTACTATTTGTATTAGCAATCAACCAATATCCAGTATAGCTAATCACTGCTGAGGTAAGTGATCAATAACAAATTTATAACTAATCACTGTTTGAGGTCAACAACAATATGGCCTAAAATAAGTCATTGTTATCATCAGTCTTCAAAAACCTATAGTAATTAATAATGCTGTCAATCACAAAAAAAAAATCCAAATGTGATTAATCGCACAATTGTCCATTACGGGCTAGTGATTAATCACAAGATGATCACACTTTTTTGAATCTGTTCTAAACAATGGTGGAAAGTAACTAAGTACATTTGCTCAAGTACTGTACTAAAGTACAATTTTGAGGTACCTGTACTTGAGTATTTTCATATTCTGTTACTTCATACTTTGACTTCACTACATTTTAGAGGAAAATATTGTACTTGTCATTTTATAACTTTAGTTACTTTTCAGAACAAAAAATACAGGATAATTACAATATCTCATGGATCTATGGTGGAATATTCACAAGCTACCCAGCAGTAATTCAAATGAAATGTATATAAGCTAGTTAAAACTAGCCCCACCTTTACCAGCTGCAACATTAAATGTGATGTACACAGTAATGCATCAGTAATTCTAATACAATAATGTGTGTATATATAGGAATGTGAAATGTGGCATTCTGCATAATGAGTTCTTTTACTTTTAGTACTTTAAATGTGTTTTTATACTAATGCTGTTGTACTTTTCCTTAACCAACATTTTGAATGCAGGACTTTTACTTGTGGGCGGTACAGTGACACGGTGGTTAGCACAGTCACTTCACAGCAAGAAGGTTCTGGGTTCGAGCCCCGGCCGACTCAGGCCCTTTCTGTGTGGAATTTACATGTTCTCCTTGTGCCTGCATGGATTCTCTCTGGGTACTCCGGCTTTCTCCCACAGTCCAAAGGTTGATTGGTCACTCTAAATTGCCCCTAGGAGTGAGGATGAGTGTGTGTTTGTTTGTCTACATGTCATCTCTGTGATAGACTGGTGACCTGTCCAATGTCAGCTGGGATAGGCTCCAGGCCCCCCCCACCCACAAACCTATTCAGGAATAAATGGTGAAAATTTTGCTGGTTGTAGAGTTGTCCAGGTATCTCCATTGCAAACTATCCATCGTGGTCTGCCTTTGGCGAGGGGGAGGGCTCTCTGGTTCAGCTGTGTGTTTGGCCAGCAAGTGGTATTTGAGACTTGACATACTCCAGTGGTAAATCAACTTACATTGACAGTAAATGCAAATAGCTTTGGTCTTGTCTAGCAAACCATCTGGCAGGGCTTTGAGGCTGAACGTACCATTCCAAAAACCCTTTTCTTTATCTATTTCTGCTCATTTTTGCTGCTGCATCACTTCCTGATTTTCCAAACTTCAGGTCATAATCATAGAATATGCACGTGTTAACTGTGTGTCAAGAAGTGTGGCGTTAAAAGGAATTTGTGTGAACACATTATTATCGTGTTAACTTTGACAGCCCCATTAATTAATGATTGGTTTGTAACTAATCAATGTTAGTAATCAATACTTAATCTATAACTAAACATTTTGGGAACTGATCATCAATAACCTATACATACATTAACAGATCACAGGTAAAGTTAGAAATCAATAAACTATTATTAACTAAACGGTCTCAGGTTTAATTATTGATAAGCAGTTACTGGGAACTGCCATGATCAATATTCTCTAATCATTTCCCTGTGTGTTACTCAGTAGCAGTTGAAAGTGCTGCCACTGAAGACCAGCGTGGATCAGGACTGTATTCTGAGTCTGTCTGCTCGCTGTCTGCTGCTGACTTGGAGAGACAATGAGAAGCTGCTGATGAGGATTCCCACACATGAGATCGCTGCTGCCTCTTACTTGCGAGATGATGCACTGCACCTGCTGGTCCTCAAGACAGGTGGGTACACACTGTCACTCACTGAATGAGTGATAGTAGGTAGTGAGGATGCATGCTGGCAGTTTTTTAAATGAAGGTTTCACTTCCCAGATGGCAAAATGACAATGCTAACATGTTTTGAACTTTCATTTCTGAATTGTTTGGCTTAATAAAAAATATATTTCTCATATCCACAGTTTTGATGATGTTAGTAACCAAATTTCAGTGTATAATGCTAAAATAAAGACAGTTATAAATGCTAACAAAAACAACAGGACCATCTGCTAACATAGACTGTATACAAAAATGACAGTCACCTGTTTCTGCTACTATACAATAGTGAAGCCAGAATATCTTGAATACTGTGGTTGCCATCTTGCTTTTGTGATGCATTTTGCAACCAGATTCTGTGCAGTAGTGAACAGAGGTGGAGCTGTGATATCAGGCTTCCAATCAAAGCTGTGAAATCATCTGAAATACATCCCTTTTGATATCATCAAATAACTTGCTAAAAACAATCTTATTAGAAAAATCATACACAAATCTGTGTGATAATATCTACCTAAAAGGACAGGTATCATTGTGGGGAAAATTATTTTATTTGTACTTTGAATTTTTAGAACTTTTAGTTTGGCTCAAGTTCCATCTGCTATATAAGGTGCAGGGTTTATGACCCATAGTGCACCTAGCCACCAGGGGGTGGTACACTAAAAAGTACTGTGTGGCTACTGCCAGTGTCACACAAAGCACTAATGTTACACAAACTTAAGACACAAGCTTTGATTTCTTATGCATTTTTAATTTCTCTTAGCTATTCAGGATTACTGGGACCTGATAAATATATAAAATAAGTATTGTTTGTGAGCAGGAAGTAGTTTTTGAAAAAAACGAGGTCCTCATATGGGGGCATTGAGTTTATTTTACTGTGTAATACAACAAAGTCACCAGTGTGTAACACAATATAAAACTTTTTAACTGAGACATGGGGTACTGGAGTGAACTTATGTTTGTTGCCTTGTTGCAAAACATGTGCCTTCTCTTCCTGTGCATCTTCAACATCAGTGCCACATTTGCTCAAGTATGCCTGAGCCACTGTCATATGAAACTCAAGAAACTGCATTATGTCCCTTTTTGTATTATATCCACATTCAGTGTTGCCTTGGCAGTACAATAGCCAGCTGCTGGATAAGCAAGATCAATGAAGTGCAGCAGCATTTGACTTGTGCACGTTCATTCGATAGTAGCTCATCATTCTGTCTACCAAGTCAACCCCACATCTTGGAGTTGTAGAAAGTCATTTTCGGCTTTTCCCATTTTTAGGGGTCGCCACAGCGAATCATCACACTGGCGACGCACATGTTGACATTTGGCACGTGTTTTACACCGGATGCCCTTCCTGACACAACCCTGATTTGAACTCGGGCTGGAGCGGCGAGAGCGCTGCACCTTAACCACTAGCCTACCAGGGACATAACGCTTGGTCGTGTGACAGTCACATACTGTTTGTCTGTCTTGGACCATCATTGGCAGGCATCTTCTGGCTGTTCAGCATGAACAGTGGAAAGCATCAACAGATTTGTTGTAATACCACTTCACCACACAAACCTTCCCATCTCCTCTTGTAACTGAGACTGAGGCACCTCTTCCTTGCTGTTTCATGTTTTTGTCACTTAGTAGCTTCTGCAGTGTTTCGGTGACCTGGCTCTTTATTTTTCTAGATTCAAGATTTTTATTTGCCATTTATGCATAAACAGACAGTCTAGGCATATAGGAATTCTTGTGCAGGGCTCTCCTGGAGTCAAGTAAAGGGTTTAAAGCCAAAAGAACGAACACCTAGTCTAAATATAAGATCACCCAAGAATATAAAAGAATACAAAAAAAAGAATACCAAATAGTTAATAAAATTTTGGATACAGCAATAAGATAGCAGGTAAAATGGGGAGTTTCAAATATTGCACATGATATTGCACATAGTGCAATTGTATATGGTATTTGACTTAGTAAGGTAATGTGGGGTTAATGCACAGATTTTTCACATTTTGTATTTCCCATCAGTTTATTGTACCAGTCAGGTACACCTGGTTCTCCAGCATTTGATCCACCACTTTCATGGTTGTGAAGAACCAATTACAGTACACTTTTGTGCCAGGATGCAGAGTTTTAGCCAGATGTGTAATAACCAGGGCTCCCAAACCAAGTCCATGACTGGGACCTGTCACCTGAGTGCATTTGCACCTTGATAGACTTCAAGGTCCAGCACAGTGCCACTTGCTGTAGCCAGCACAAAGTTTTTCATGCCTATTGGGCTTTAGTGGAACACACTGGTGAAATGGACAGGCTCCTGTGAATGGAATCATTGGTTAATCAATTGATACACATTCTGGTTGAGCCTGAAGCAAGCAGCCTTTGAGGATGTGATCCATAAAGGGCTTTGTCTTCCACAATCTGTCAGTTGTCTTTATGTCTTCTGAAATGTCCTTATCAAATTTTTTAGATGTTTCCTCTGTTTTAAAAATCTGTCATGTCTGATTTTGTCACTAATGGCAGGAATTCACATGGCACTGGACTAGAACATCCTGAGTTGTGCGTAAGGCACGCAAGATATAAAAATTGGTGCTAGAAAAAAAAAGATAAATCTCAACTGATGTGTTGAGAGAGTTGCTACTGTTAGTTAGTGACATAACATTTGTGCAGTTAGCAGCGAGTTTCATCAACTCTGTATCGATGTACTGCTCCACATACTCCAGTGGCTGCCAACCATGTTGCTCATGCAGTGTTTCATCTTCAGCCTCAAACTGAACTAAGTCTGGAGTGAAGGCAGCAGACTTCCAGCATTTTCTACATGCAAGTTTGTTAGATTCTGGCTCATCATGGTTCACGTCAAAACTTTTATCACGCTGACATTTACGCAAGTGTCCTCTGGATCTCTGCACATGGTTACTGCCATCATGTTTACATGCATGTGGATGGGGTTGTGGCTCACTGTCACTGTCATCACTGCTCTGCTGATCAAACTCTGATAAATCTGGTGGAATATCATCTTCATTTAATTGTTCCACACTAGGATCAGCATCCTCACCATCAGACAACTCCTCCACCTCAGAGTTCTCTCCTATTATTGCATTTAGCAATCATTCCACTTTTGACAAAGAAATATGGCCTGGAAATGTATTACAGAGGAATATAAAATTAAATCAATGTAGACTAATTTGTGCAACATGCAACAACTATTTATGCTCTTGGAAACTGTTTGTTTCTTCCCAAATCTTCCCAAGCCATGTGTCCTTATTTTTACACCTTCACTTTGCAATTATACCATTATAAAGTCCAAGTGTCCTCAAACGAGTACTTCCTAATTAGCAGCTTCCTAGCTTGTTACTATTGCTAAAACTTGTGAAATTTGCATGCCATTTCAAACTGCAAATGTTATTAAGCATAATCAGGCTTTGTACCTTGTCCACTTTTATCTCAGGAACGACTGTAAAATGTCTTAGTTGAGACTGACGTCACCTTGTTTTTACAACTGATTAGTGCAATGTTCTTTTGCTACCACTAAATGGCGCCATGCTCTCTGTGTAAAAGAATGCTGCCTCTTTGGCCTACTGACAGGCAGGGCTAATTTATGTATCATAATTTTACAAGACAATGTAGAAAAGTTGGAATAACAATGGAAGTGCTATAGGTTACAGACAGAGTATTATGGAAGGGGTGTAAAGCTGAGAGACATCACATCCTCTCCCATTTTTAATTGATTTGTCAGACAATATCATTTATTTAATGCACTGGGTAATGCAAATCTAGCTATTGTACCTTTAATTAAGTTAGAGTCTCAGGAATCTCTTTTTTTTTCTTTTAGTCTTGTGAAACAAAGTGGAGAGCAGGAGCCTTTGCTTCTACTGCTGAATAGTTTGCAACTTTGTTAAACCCTCATCCAACAGGTCTGAACGTGGATACTGTGGTCGCTGGGGATGACAGTCTGGACAGAAAAAAGCCAATAGGCATCGAAGGGAGACGTCAAACCATGAGCTGCAATGCAGATCCACGCCCTTCTGGGGGCACAATGGAGCGACGACACACCATCTGTGGACTTGACTGGAGGCCATCACTTTCCAGGAGTAACCACGACAAAAACCAGAACATGGAGAGAGGATGTGGAGGAGGTGCAGGGGGAGAGAGAGGAGGAGGAGGAAGCCTAGAGAGGAAGAGAGTAGGAGGAAGCTGGGAAAGGAAGCCGCAAGCACGTAAAACAGGAGGGAGCTGGGAGAACCGCAGAGCAAGGCCTATGAGTGGGAACTGGGGGTTGGGTCCAGGAGGTGGTGGTGGAGGGAGCTGGGAGAGGAGGCCTGGAGGAGCTGGGAGCTGGGAACGGAAGAGCTATGGCAGCTGGGAGAGGAGGAACCACAACCCGCTGGAGCCCACGCCCTGCCCTGACGCCTACTGCAACCTGGTCATCCTGGCTGTGGAAAACCGGGTATGTCACCTGATGAACAAAAAAAACTAGCTCCAGATTTGACTTCATTAAATAATTTGATTCAGGTTTTTGCAGACATTTGTGGTTGATGGCCTCATTTTAGTGATCAGATTTCTTATGCTGAGATTTTTCTTATATCAATTTAAAGCACAGCATACTACTGTTTTGAGTTTCCCGTGGCCATGTGCAGGTAATGCTAATACTTGAGATGTGATGACACTGTTGTTTAACCAATCACATACTCCAGCCCTGTGAGTACCCCACCCCTCTCACACGTTCCTGGAGCTTGATTTGATTTACCTGCTGAGGGCTACCAAAATTTAGTTCCAGCACCTCGTCTCCATGCAGCGGAGACAAAAAGCAGAACAAGGCATACAATTCCATTACAGGATGGGAGGTTCCTACAATGGAAAAGGCCTCTTAGGGTGTTTTCACATATGCTCCTTTATAAATGAACCCAACTCAGTCCTATTAAGCTGCGTGTCCACTGTCAGAACCTAATGAGTGGTATACACCGTACTTACCTTAACCATCACCAAGCACAGCCTCTTTCAGTTCATACTGTAGAGACTCTGGAGCTCTCAGACCTTTACCGCTTTCACATATGTCTTTTATATCAAAGGATCCTCTAATTTGTCTATTTTTATTGCGTGTGGTAAAATGCTTTTCATGTAGTCTTTTCAGTTTGATGCAGCACTGCAGTGGGGTTCCAATGAAGCCCCTCGCTCTCATAGGAGCTGAAAACTGAAGGAAACCCTTAACGTGTCTATGCATTATAGACAGTTGTAGTTTGATGTGCTCTTTGTTCAGTATCATGAGAAGTGCAGTAGTTTCTTCCCTGCACTAAACTAATCATCCATTAAGATTTTTAACTGTACTACTACTGATACTGCTTATTAATCTGGTACTTTGAGTTTGTTTGTAGTGCTCATACAAAAAGATGACTGACTAGTAGATAGATAGATAGATAGATAGATACTTTATTACAGACCCAAGGTCCAGGTGTATAAATGCTAAAAAAAACAATAAAACCATGAAACAATCAGAAATAAATAACAATAAAAAGACAACAACAAGAACAACCAATAAACAACTACCCTTTTAAAAGGCAGGTATACCAGTGTTTCCAAAGTACTGAAGTATATCGCATGTCACTATATGCAATATTAGTCAACAATAAAACAATTTGTTTTGAAAGCCAACAGGGACCAAGTGTGAACACACCCTTAGTGAGCTTTAGGGATGCTAAACTAGTGCAAGTATGACCTGTCTGCAGCTTTGTACTTAACACACAGACATGAGACTTGACATCTTTTCGTCTCACACTCAGACAGAAAATAAATGGGCATACTTGCCATTGTGCTGAATGATTATTCTAGCCTAAAAAGCACTGAGTATAGTAACGTGGTCATTGGTTTTAGTGTTGGACAAGATGCAATGCTGACTTGTTTCTTATGAACTTTCAAAACATACTGTCATACAGAAATGTGTTATTTTAACATCAGAAGAATAACTCAAATAACTTTCCAGTCTGAAGCAGAAATCTTTGAAACCACTTCTTCCAGTCCATTCCTTTAGTCTCAAATACAGTAATCAAAAGGCTTCAGAAGTTTTCTGGTGAAAATTCTGGTGGGGCACACTTTTGTGCCTGGGTGCTCTTACTGCTCCTCTATATTTCATTATTGTCAGCAGAGAGCTAGTTAGACATACACTCTTTTCGCCATCCCATAGGTCAAAGTAGCTCTGATTCTGATACCAGGTGGCATTAACACTATGTTTACATTACATCACAATCACAGTACAACTATTCACAATTGTATAGAAATCCACCCCCTAGAGGTTTGAGATATATAGGAGTATTTTGGTCTGGACCAAAGGGCCAAACAAAATCATTGTCCCCTGGAGCTGTGCTACTAGAGACTGGTGTTTGTGTGCTCAGAGTTGATATCACTGTGTAACATTCAGCTCAGTTAAATTCATTTTCTTCAGACTGGCCCTAACCTTAAATATAACCACCCACTCTAAAATGTAATGAGGACTTGCTTTTTGTCCCTATGAAGACGCTGAGTCCTCTCAGTGTGACTGTGTAAACAGACTTACTGTATATACCCATAACATGAATAATCCCAGGCCACACATGCACACACATTGTCTTGTTGCATAATCTAAGTCTTTGCAACACTTACAGCTGTGTAGCATTGTCACTGTGTGTGTGTGTGTGTGTGTGTGAGTGAGAGAGAGAGAGAGAGAGAGAGAGAGAGAGTGATAGTGTTCCTCGGTCTTTGTTAACCTTGTTCCCAGAGCAATAATTGAACTGACAACATTATAGCGTGTCCTTGATCAGTTGGCTCATACAGAGCTAATAGACTCCAGTCGTATTTTCATCACAACAACAGATTGCTGGCTTGGCCGTGCATGGATGCTTATTAATGGGTATGTACCCTTGAACAAGGCACTAACCAGTGCAAATGCTGCAGCAAAGTTGGTCACACAGTAGGACCTGGCAGGGACAAATCAATCACAAACTGACAAAATATAGTTCCCAAAAAGAAAAACAAAGTCAGGCTTAACAACAGGTATGCAGTTTATCCATAGGGTCAGGGTCAGGGTCAGGGTCAGAGTCTGGGTCTGGGTGCCAAGCAACATTACTGGTGGACTATAAGCAATCATCTGGCAATGAGGACACACCAACGCTCTCCTTAAGTACTGCTCTGATAATTGAGAGCAGGTGTGCCTCGCCGCCTGGAATGCACTCCCACCTGTGCGGGGGCAGAGCTACTGGGATTACTCATACCAGCTGATGGGGTGCTTGGGGTGGCCAGGGCCATGGACATAACAGTGATGTCACAGAAGGTTATGTTACTCGTTCAGTGTGATAATTGCTTGTGTGTGTGTGCAGGATGCTGCAGAGGAGTACTGTTCTCTGATCTGTCAAATGTTCCAAATCATTTATGGCCATCAAACCATTGAGTGTGTGGACAGGGCTGGGTTTCATCACACCATGCCGGACCGCTATTGGCTGCAGAGGAGTGAGTCAGCCTTTCTGTTTGCTGAAAGTAGAGCTAAATATTGTATAATATGTAGAGACTTTATAACTTAGCTTTTATTTTCGGCTACTGGTGATGCTAGTTTAAAGAGGGCAATGTCTGTTAATCACTCTATATATCGTCTTTGCTCCAGAGCAAGCAATCTCCAGACTTTCTGCCCTGAAAATTCATGGTCAGAAAATTTATGTTAACGTTTTTGTCCAACCTCTGTCATTAGCTCTAATGTCACCATCAGATCACATTTTATTCCAGTTGTATAAAAGCAATACTGTATAGTATTTAAAAATGTGCCCATCCCACCCCTGTTCCTTAGAGGATTTGCCCTAAGGAAAACTGCAGCCTCTCTAGGGATGCTGACTGTGCTTAAACTTGGACTCGTCTTTCACTATCATACTATAGTTGGTTTGAATGGGAAACTGTGTATTTAATGCTCTGCCTCTGTCTTTTCTGTGTAGGTGACAGCTGTCTGACTGACATGTCCTACAGTTATGACCCAGAGTTTAGCTGCTGCAGCTCATAGTGAGTAACATTTGGTGCAATGAAGATGTACCGTAGATCACAGTGTTTGTTATCAATCAACAGCTTGACACATTTTCTACCAGACATTTTAGGTGATAGCTTTGTCAGCTTTTATTAGTCACAGCGATGATTACAGAATACATTTTCAGCACAGCAGTGGTGCCCCTTTCTAGAGATTTGATTTTGATTTTCCAAATATATATCAGCTTACTTCACAGACACAAAACACACACATGCACACACATTTTCTGTACATAAAACAAGCAGGCTCATCCTCATTATCTACAGTAGGTACTGTATGTTCTGACCTTGATGTATATAAATTACCATAGGTCGGGGGTTTTCAAAGTGTGAGGAGGTGGTCCTCCTTTCAGATGTGCAGTTGTTTGGTTAGAGTATCATCCTATCCTTTACCCTAAAGGTTATCAATCTGAAGTCTGGTACTTTATGTACTCACAGATTGTAATAATTCTACTTCAATGGTTTTCAGTTGGTTAATGTAATCTTTTCAATAGTTATTGCCTTTTCTCTGTTTGACCGATATATACATTTCCTTTTTCCAGCACTGTAATGTTGATGCCTCTGGATGTGGTTTCTTAAATATAATTAATGAAAGAAGTCAGTGTAATATAAAAGTCCAAAGGATTTTTCATAATTTGAAGGAATCCTGTATGATTAGTGGTTTCGACACTGACTGTAAACAGTTAACATTGGGGACACTTGATGAATAATTTGATTAATAATTTGCACTTTAGGCCACTATAAAACAATAAAGAACAACTAACGGATGAGTGGCAGCTGACTGCCAGCTACAGTTGACTAGCAGCAACAGTAAACATATCCAATAATCTATTTATCCATAACTCCATCTGTGTCAGGTGATATTCCATCCAGTTGTAAGAAACTCTCCCTCTGTCTCCCTCAGTGATGGTTCCCAGGATGCCTTTGAGCTCTACTACAGTGAGACATACAGTGAGAGTTCATCTCTGTCGCTGCAGGACTCCCATCGTAGTCTGGCTTCAGCCAATGATGCAGGAGACAGCAACCCTGACCTGCTGCTGATGCAGGAATATATGATCACTGTGAGTGTGTGTGTTGGTGAGTGTGTTTGCTTCCATGAACATTATTGCCTGTTATAATTCATAACACAGCTCTGCAGAGTTTCTGCAAAATGATTACACCATTTTAAACATTTTTCTGGTTATACACAGTAGAGTGAATATTAGCATTTTGTCAGTTTGTCAGATAAATTGATCAAATGTATACATTTTAATTGTGATGGGTGATTACATAGCCTAGTCATGTGCAATGCACATCGAAGAGTTTTATAAATGTACACATTAACTACCAACACAATTAGGTTACTACAAACATGACATCCATCAGATCACAGAATTGTTTTGCTTCCATTTTATAGAAAGAATACAGTTTGTGCATGTGATAAAAAGACAAAAACAAAAGGTGCCTTAATGAGGTGTTGGGACACCACAAGATTCCTACAAATGCATAAGTCACAATGTAGGATTGCAGTCTAAAACAAGACTATATATTTATATTTGTAAAAAAAAGTTATCTAAATGTAAATTTGTAGGCTCCC